GCAGCTGGAGGCTCTGCTCTTTTGGAGCTCCTAAATCCTCATGAAGCGAGCACACTTTTACCTGGGAATACAGTGAGGGTTCCACTGAACCTCAAACTGTCTGCCACTTAGACACTTTGAGATTTGTACACTGGTGATCAGTAGGCAAAGAAAGCAGGTATCACATTGGTCAACTCTGTTAGGAGAAGCTAGACTTTACTGCTGTATAATGGGGCAGAGAATTCACAGAGGTAACCTGGTATGCTAAACAGGCAATAACAGCCTGGTAAAGGACAAGGACTTTGAGCCCTCAGCAATGAGGGTGTGGATCACTGCACCAAACAAGCAATGCTGTAGAGCTGAAGTGTTGGCCAAGAATGAGGAACTCTAGGAAGGGTGGTAGAGGAGATAAGGAGTAACTATGGCCTTGTGAGCAGCAGCAGCAATGGGGACGAGTCAGTTCCACTAACCCTCCTGTAGTATGTTTTCTAGAGATCATAGCTGGGCTCCCTCAAAAAGTCCAGAGTGGAATTTACGTGAACACAAGTGGATCTGAGTGGTGCAAGGGGTGGATGAAGGAGATGTTTTTGGTGCTCTGTGGCATACCTCCTTGGCACCTCTGATTTCAGCCGCAGCTGTAGTGGATAGCTCAAGTGAGCTCAGATCACGTTGATAGCATCCCACCTCAAACCTGCACTACAAATCTCTTCACTTTCCTGCTGTGAGGCCTCCAAAGCTGAAAGAAACTCTTCAGCCCCAGTGCAAGTGTAGCCTGAAAGTGTGGGGTGTTCACCCCTCCACCAGTAGGGATCAGGACAAAGCCCCAGCCCAGTGTTCTTCAGACGGGGAATTATGAGAGGCATTCTGTAGGGTTCCCAGAGGTGGAACTGAGCTTCTGTTGCCTACCTCATTAACATACCAGTACGCTTGCATCTCCTCCTTTCCTGGCTCATTCTGTTTCCTGCTCCTGTTTCCTAGTATCACCTCCCAAATAAACTACGTGGACTCAAGTCCTTGTCTTGACTTTTATTTTAGGACACTAAAACACATTCCCATTAATACCAGAAACAAAACAAGCATGTGTAGTCTTACTGCTATTCTCCAACATAATACTGTCCTTACAAATGAGCTAGCCTTACCCCCCAGAAAACCCAAAGAATCAATACAGAATCTATTAGAACTAGTGAAGGAGTTCAATACATGTGCCACATGTAAGATTAATTTATAGGACATTAGTAATTTCCCTTTATATCAGCAGTAACCAACTAGAAAATATAATAGAAGATTCTGTTCACAGTACCAATAAAACCATATTATAAATACATAGGATCATTAAGAAATTTTAAGAAACACTTAAAGGACATTAAAGAAGTTCTGAATAAGTGAAGAATTGTTTCTGATAGTGGTAAGATGTCAGTTGTCCCCAAACTAAACAATAAATTCAATGCAATTAGAATTAAATTCCAGTGGGAACTTTTTCTCTGTCCGCCCTCTAATAGGAGCCCACCAAACTTGTTCGAACACTTGCATGGAAAAATAAAGTTTCACAAAAGTAGCTCAATTTCATAATAAAAAAAAAGACCTTACCAAAAAAAAAAAAAAATTGTTGTGCAAGAATATCCATAGATCAGTTTGCAAAAGGCTAAAGAGTTTATACATGACCCTGAAATGACATCATGAGCCAGTAAGGTAAAGTGACTTATTTAATAAAAAACTGGCTCATTATTTGGAGAAAAATACCTGTGGGCCTTATACAAATTTACTCTTGGGATGTATTAAATGTGAAAGATAAAACTAAGTTTAATAAATAAAAGTTTTTGATCTTACAAAGGTCTCTTTAAAACCCCAAACACAATAAAGCAAAAAAAAATTGATTTTACTATATAAAAATTAAGGAAATATTGACAAAGTTGTCAGTTGAGAGACACTAACAAGCAAATATTAACAAGAGTCCAATACTGATAAGGTATTAATATTTAAACCATGCAAGGAACTTCTGCAAAACAACAAAAAAGACCATGACCCAGTAGAAAAATAAGCAATGAACAAAAACATACTTGTTTCCCATCAGATCAAAGTGTAAGAGTTTCAAGGTTTGAATTGGCAGCTTAGCAAAAGGGAAATCCAAATGTTGAACATTTATATGAGGGGATGTTCAACTTTAGGAATTAGGAATCAGAGAAATGCCAAATAAAATGAGACCTCACTTTAAAACCATGCCATTAACAAAAAGCAGGAAGCTGGATGGGACCGATGCTGGTGAGGGGATGTATAAAACTGGGAATCTCATGCATGTAGTGGAATCATGGACGGATGCAGTCATTCCAGAGGGCAACCTGAGAGTTCCGAATAAAATTAAATATTTATAGGCCTGGCACTCAGCAGTCTGACTCCTGTTATATACCCATGGGGGAACTCATGAAAAGTCAACGAGGGAATTAACATTGACGTTCAAAGATTTTGAAATAACAGAAATATCAAAACCAACTATTCACTACAGAAATGCATAAGTAAAATGCGGTTGCACATTAGGGAATACTATACGGTCATCAGAATAACTTAATGAAGGTACATACTGCTGAAGAAGTAATGTGTCAATCATTTTTTGGACATAAAAGAGAAGATGCCTGTTTCAAAGTCTAAACCTTTAGTAATTAGTCTCATGATACAAGGCAAATTACCCAGCTGCTTCTACTTAGGAAACAGACAACTATTACATCTGTTATTATACCAAGTCTTTATTAAGAAGTAAAGTGCTCAATATTACACATTAATGAAATTCTCAATTGTTGAGAGACTTGCATATGTAACATCTTCTTAAAATCACAGATATAGAGGGGAAGATGATAGGAGAGGGAAAAGGAGGGAATTCTCCATGACTAAAGAGAAAAAAAAGTATGTAACTTATGGGTAAAAAGAAAGAATTTTGTAAAATCGTACAGGTGAAATGAGAAACAAGATGATAATAAGTACATAAAAAGATTTTCTAGTGACCATAATTAATATATGGCACGTGGTCAATACACATGGATACCACATAATGGCTGCACTTCAAATTGAAGTTTGTTTACATGTAACAACATGGTACACACACATAAATACGTACACTCAATATCCCTGGAATGCAAACTTCAGTACCTAGTAATAAAGAACTTCATGTAGCATATTCAAAAGAAAGTAAAGATGGAAATAAAGCATGAGAAATAACTATTAAAGAAACCCAATGTGTATCACTTCTATAGAAGCCAGCTTAGGCAGGTTTGTTTGCTCAGGTTTTCACTGAAGATTTGACTGACCTATTCTATCAATCACGTAAACAACTTAAAGCCAGGCGTTCAAACACAGGCCTCCCTTCTGTTGTTCTCCAAGTCAGAGTTAATTCACCAGCAACGCATTCTCTCTTGCTTGTCCCATTAGCTCTCTCAAAAGGTCACCTCATTCAACACTTTTGAAAAATAAGATTTTTTTATGTTTCATTGAGAAATAATCTCTTCTCTATAAATTTGGTGGGACCCTCTCCTAATGAAAACACAAACAAACAAACCAAAAACTGCTGCAAACTCAAACTGGCTGATATGTTCTGATCATGAATGAATTTTCAATACCAGAAATTCCTTCTCATTAAAATTGAGCTCCATTTAGATTATACATTCTAGTTTTGAACCGCTGAATCAGACTATTTGAGTTCCATATTCTTAAAACAGCATAAAACTCAAACTTCAGTTTTATAATGTTTGCATATGAATTTCAAAACTCCTGTAAATTTTTGTTTCAAACGAACATATCTGCTGAGTTAAAACCCTCAGTACATAATGAAAACATTTAGGAAGTCGGCTTTCCCAGATTAGTTACAACGTTCCTTTCAGTTGCAAGTAAGTTGAGCCACGCGGGAAGAGAATATATGGACGAATCTTTATACTAAACTAATTATAAGAAAAAGTCAAACTGATGGGGCACCTGGGTGGCTCAGTCAGTTAAGCATCTGACTTCGGCTCAGGTCATGATCTCAGGGTTTGTGGGTTCAAGACCCATGTCAGGCTCTGTGCTAACAACAGCTCAGAGCCTGGAACTTGCTCCTGTGCTAATAGCTCGGAGCCTAGAACTTGCTTCAGATTCTGTGTCTCTCTCTCTCTCTCTGCCCCTCCCCCGCTCATTGTCTGTCTCTCTCTCAAAAACAAACATAAAAAGAAAGAAAGAAAGAAAGAAAGAAAGAAAGAAAGAAAGAAAGAAAAAGTCAAACTGAGTGACAGGGCTCCTTCTAATTTTCCTATGCCATGGCTAGAGATGACATTTTAACCTACAATCAATCTGGTGGTTTCACACAGCTCATTTTAAATGAGAGTGAAAACAGTATGAATAAATGAAACAGTTATTCCCAAGGACATGAACTATATAATACAATGATAAAAAAGCACAGTATTCAACATGTATCTTCACCATTCATACACATTCTAGCATAATGACTACATACCCATTCCATGGTTCATAGTTCTTTTCCAGCTCATCTTTTGGAAATGTTTGCCCCAGGAAGGTAGTTGAAACAAAGGGTTCCTTTCTTTAAAGCAAGCTATGTTTTATGTCCATAAACCAAGCCCGAGTGGGAAAGAATGCCCCTACTTTCCCTTCACGCACTGGGCAAAAATGACAATACTGATTTTTGTGACTGGAAATAAAACTCAGAAGGCTTTTGACAATTCTCTCCTAGCTTTAAAGGCTACATTGTTGTCCACTGAGAAGACTCATCCATGGTAGCAAGTGGGCAGACCACTCCATGTACTTTACAAAGATTTTTTTTTTTTCTGTACTCAATATTTACACCTAGGTTTCTTATATGAGAAAAAAAAAAATCTTCTTTGATCCATGGGCAAAGTTTATCTAAAATAAATTAAAGTGCAGAAGAATTAACATTTGGTCACAAAGACCAGCATCATATGGTGGTCAGGGCATATAAATAGTATACTTGCTCTGGCCATTCAGGACAGCCCTTTCTCCCCTATTAGGAACACACACTAACACACATCTTAGACTTGGATATTGGAACTCCCATTTGCACCTGCGCCTTCTATTCCGTCTGCAGACTGGGAGGAAGAAGGGCGGGAGCTTCTGGGGCGCGGCTGACCATTCAGTCCCACTGGCGTGCCTAAACCATGACTTATCTGGGAAGCTGCATCGTCAGACTCCCAGCGTTCCAACTCTTCCCGCACTAGTCGTTCCATCTGCTCCCTGTGGATTTCACTGTCACGACCCAGTCTTTCATCCTAACAAAGGAAAAAGAGATCAGGATGTTGGGGGTTGGGGATGCACACTTTTGTACTTAGAAATTGCCTTAGGAAATCAGGGGGCCAAATAATCTGTCAACATTAAATAACATTAAATAACACTGGCGATTTATAGCATATATAGCAATTCTCTGAGCTACTGGAGTGACTTTTTGACTTAATTCTACCATTCAGTGAAGGCAGAACCATCAGAACAGTATTAAGAAAGTAACACCTCCAGACTATCATCTGATCTGCACTGATCTGCAGTTATAGACATCTCAGAAACCCTCTCAGATGAAACACTACAAAATATGACTACCCTGATATTTTCTAGAATCAGTGTTTCTGTGTCAGATGACCACTTACCTCTGCCACCCCATCCAGAAGCCTTCCCAGAACCTCCCTTCTCTTCAGTTTGGCCCGCTCCATGATCTCCAGCTTCACGATCACAGCATCAATCTTGGACACGATGCTGCCGATGGAATGCTCCATTCGATCCACTCGTCTCACCAGGCTGCAGGAAACCACAGGTGAGAGGGGGAAAGCCACCTCGTGTGGTGGGCTGCCTTTTCAGCCCAGCTGGCTTTTCATTTAAAAAAAATTTTTTTTAAACAATTTTTTTTACATTTATTTATTTTTGAGAGACACAGTGAGACAGTGCATGAGTAGGGGAGGGGCAGAGAGAGGAGACACAGAATCTGAAGCAGAGTCCAGGCTCTGAGCTGCCAGCACAGAGTCCAACACGGGGCTCAAACCCACAAACCGTGAGATCGTGACCTGAGCTGAGTTGGACACTTAACCAACTGAGCCACCCAGGTGCTCCCCAGCTGGCTTTTCAAATGGAAGTGCTAAGATATTTTTCTTAAACAAGATGATAATCAGCAGTCTCAAACTTTAGCTATAAACTCATATATTGCTGATGGGAATGCTAACTGGCACAACTTCTCTGCAAGTCAACATTGTATTAGAAGTCTTATAAATGTATGTTTAGCTTTTATTCAGGTATTCCATTTCTTGAAAATTTTCCGAAGGAAGGAAGGAAGTATATGTGTGATTTTTTGGGCTACCAGCATATTCATTAGAGTTCTGCTTATTAATAGTGGTTCACTGAAAAATGGTTACATTAAATAATTAATAGAAAAATTTTCAAATATGTTATTTTCATCTATACAATGGAATTCTATGGAGATACCAGAAATTGTATGGTGATAGAATATTTAACGGAATAGTGGTATTCACAATATATTAAGTAAATAAAGCAGTAAGAAAACACTGTTCACTAGTGATCCCATTATTTTGAATAAAAAAATTTATGTAAATGCTTTAAAAACATAGAAATAGGAGACAACTTCTGGAATGGTGACAGGAGGGCTTTGTAAGCCCTCTCCCAGTGAAACAACTGCAACTGTTGAAAATTATCAAAAAATTTTTTTTTCAAAACTCTGGACATTTTCTTAAGGGTACACAGCAAATGAAGAAGCATTTATTTAAGAAAATCCACTGAGTTTCAGAGAGTCTGCTCCCTCTCTTTCTCCCCCAGTTCAGTGTGACAGAAGTGCCACTCCAGTTGGGTTAGGCAATGAACACAGGGCTCCCACTCCCTTCTACTCCCAGTGGGGGGCTCTGGTATCTCACAGGAAGGGGTGGGCTGCGCAGTTCTCATCCCTGTGCCTCCACCCCCGAATCCATATTGCAGAGGATCTAATCCAGACAAGAGTGGCAGCGAGCTATGAGGCTCTCTTCCTCCACTCATCTGCCAACTATAGGGTGGAGTTTCCACGCCCGGAGAGGCAAGCTGAGAAGACCGAAGGCTGCCATCCCAGCCCAGTGCTTGATTCGTGAAACAGGGGTATCACTCTGGGAAGTAGACCACTGTTCCTGCTCCTCTCTCTGAAGCGGTAGCACAGGGGTTTTGCCCAGGGGATAGTCAGGCCACAGAACAGAGAGCTCCAAAGCTTCCCCCCAAGAGAACTGGCTTTATTTGGAACAAAGTGCTAAGCCTAAGAGTGCTTTTGAAAACAATGGAGATTATGGTGATAAACAGTTAAGATGAGGCTGGTCTGCTCTGGAAAATATCAACAAAGAGATACAGATTATTTTAAGGAACCAAATATAAATTCTGGAGTTGAAAATTACAATAAATGAGATGAAAAAGTCACTTAAGGGTCTCCACAGTAGATCTGAGCTGGCAGTAGAAAGAATCAGCACACTTGAAGATAGATGGATAGAAACTATGTAATCTGAAGGGCCGAAGAGGCAAAAAGTGAAGAAAAATGTAGGATACCTGTAAGCACCCCAACAAACACAGGGTAGGAATCCCAGAAGGAAAGGAGAGAAAACAGCAAAAAACTATTTTAAGACATAATGGTTGAAAACTTCCTAAATGTGATGAAAATATTACACATTGTAGCAGCTTAATGAACTCCAAATAGGATAACTGCAAAGAGATCCACACTCAGATCAGTCAAAATACTGAAAGACAAAGACAAAGAAAAAATCTTGAAAGTATCAGAGAAAAGTGACTCATTATGTATAACACTGAGGTAAGATTGCTAAGGTTAGATTGCTGAGGTTAAGACTGCTAAGATCTTACTGCTAATCTTAGCAGTAAGATTAACAGCTATCTTCTCATCAGAAACAATGGAGACCAGAAAAAAATGAAGGGGAAATAAAAATATTCCCAGATTAAAAAAAAAACTGAGGGAATTCATGCTAGCAGGCCTGCTTTAGAATAGATACTAAAGGAAGTTCTTTAGGCTGACATTAAGTGATCCAGATAGTAATCAGAAGCCACATGAAAAAACGAAGAGCACTGGGTACAGGTAATTATGTAACTATAAAAGGCAGTACAAATTCATATTTCTTTTCCTTTTTTCCCTCTTAACTGATTTAAAAAGCAATTGTGTAAGACAATATGTACACAATTGTATTGTTGGGCCCATAACATACAGAAATATAATAATATATTTGACAGTAGCAGGACAAAAGGGGGGTAAGAGCAAAGTTGTACTGGAATATGGAAATAACACCAGATGGTAACTTGAACCCACAGGAACGAATGAAGGGAACCAGAAATGGTAAGTAGGAAAAAGAATATAACAAACTCTATAAATATATACTTTCTCTTCTTTCTTGTCTCCTTTAAGAGACATAAAATTATATGAAGTGATCATTATGACAATGTTGTATTGGATTTGTAACATAGATTAATATGTATAATATGGCACAAAACAGGGGAGGAGTTATATAGCAATGATATTTCTATATCGCCTTGGATTAAGTTAATATAAATCTGAAGTAGATCCTGATAAATCAATTTGTATATATTACGTCCTAGAGAAACTACTAAAAAAATAACTAAAAAATGTAGTGAAAAAAAATTATTAAAGGAATTAAACTGTTGCTCTAGAAAATATTACTTTATGTAAAAGAAAGCAACAAAGGAGAAAAAGAGGGACAAAAAAAGATATGACACCTACAGAAAATGAAAAATAAGGGACCCCTGAGTGGGCTCAGTCCGTTGGGCATCCAACTCTGGCTCAGGTCATGATCTCACAGTTCATGGGTTCAAGCCCTGCATCCAGCTGTCTGCTGTAAGCACAGAGCCCACTTTGGATCCTTGGTTCCCCTCTCTCTCTAACCCTCCTCTGCTCACGTGTGTGTACACATCCTGTCTCTCAAAAATAAACATTTAAAAAACAAGAAGAAGAAAAATGGTAGTTGTAAGTCCAACTATATTAATGATAACATTAAATGTAAATGAAGTAAATATTCTAATCAAAAGGCAAAGATTACCAGACTGGATGAAAAGACCAGGTCCAACTATATGCTGTCTACAGGTGACACACCTAAGATTCAAAGATACAAACAGACTGGAAATGAGAACAGAAAAAGGTGTATCATGCAAAAAGCGATGATAAGAAAATTGGAGTTGCTATAGTAATATCAGACAAAAAAGACTTTAAAACAAAAAAAAATTACTAGAGATAAAGTAGGACTTTTTTTTTTTTTTAATTTTTTTTTTTCAACGTTTATTTATTTTTGGGACAGAGAGAGACAGAGCACGAACAGGGGAAGGTCAGAGAGAGAGGGAGACACAGAATCGGAAGCAGGCTCCAGGCTCTGAGCCATCAGCCCAGAGCCCGATGCGGGGCTCAAACTCACGGACCGCGAGATCGTGACCTGGCTGAAGTCGGACGCTTAACCGACTGCGCCACCCAGGTGCCCCAAGTAGGACATTTTTTAATGAAAACGGGGTCAATCTATTAGAAAGATATACCAGTTATAAACATTTATACACCTAACAACAGAGTTCCAAAATACACAAAGCAAAACCTTACAGAAATGAAGGAACAATTTAATAATAATAGTTGGAGACTTTAATACCCCACTTTCAAAAAGTAGATGAAACTAGGCAGAACAACAGGAAATAGGAGATTTAAGTAACACTACAAACCAACTAGACCTAAAAAACGCCTATAGAACACTCCACTTAACAACAGTAGTACATACATTCTTCTCAGGTGCTCATGGAACATTCTTTGGGATATACCTTGTGCTACGCCATAAAAACAAAAAACACATGAAAAACGAAAAACATGTAAATGGAGATACAAACACCAAAATTACATTTTGGGTTAGCGGGAATAGGAGAGATCGTAATGTTTTCTTCTATTTATTTGCTAACTTAAATATATTACTTCTATTGAAAAAAAAACATCAAAAGTTATAAAAAAAAAAAAGAACTGATGATTAGTAATGGAAAGAATTAAACTGAGAGAGGTGGGAAAAACTGCTTTATCTCATTTAAACTCTTGTCAACACAAATCCTGCCAATTCCTTTATACTTACACTTGAAACTCTTCATAAGAAACCCCACTGGAGATGCTTCCCCTCCTTCTGGAACTATGCCCACTGTCTTCATCATCATCCTCCTCAGAGTCATCCAGGCTTCTTGGGAAACTTCGGCTGCTCATGGGACGTGGTAAAGAGCTGTGATCCAGATCCAGATCCTCCTGAAGAACATTGGATCACTGGGTGAGGAGCGAGAACACCCAGTCCCCACAGAGCTTCACTGAGGGCTTGGGCAAATGGCAAATGGATATGTACCAATTACCTAGGATTTCTTTGTGGCTAACACCAGACTGTGATTCCCACACTTGTAAATTTCATGGATTGGCAAATTTTCAAAACAGGTCTTAATGACCAGCAAGGGACTGCTAACTTGTTTGGACAAGAAAGAACATTAAAAATAGAACAAAGCAGAGAAAAAAAGGTAGAGGAAGAAATATATTATCACCTTTTCATAAAAGATAACACATTTAATAGCTACAAAGTTGGAAGGATATAATCTTACAGTAAAAATTTTGACTAAATGCAGCCTTGTGAAAGGTGATTTCACTATGCCTGGGGAAGTTTTTCACTTGCTGGCACCATTCGGTGAGGCAGAGTTTAGAAACTACTCCTCATAGAGAAGGAACTTTGGTATATAGTATTCACCTGCATTCTCTGTACCTCAATTACAATGGATATTTTTTGCTTCGTTTAACCATTTATTTTTAATGTTAATGTTAAAGCTTTTAGTTATCCTTTCTGATTATAAAAGACCATGGGAATTTACTTCTAACAGTTTCATAAGAAGTATTCAAATGGAAGGCAGTAGTTATTTTTGTTCCATTATAAATGTTAAAGAACAATTAGCTTTACATCTCCTGAGGAATCTTTTTTCCTCCACTCTCATGGACACAGTGAGGTGTGTGACTATTCAGGTTTCCCTTTTGAAGCTGATGGCCAGAAAACTTAGGGCCAGATTTATAGCCCAATCTTTAATCAACATACGTGTATTTTTATGGAAGCATTTTTAGCTTCCTAGTCTAGTTTTATATTTCACTTTTGTTTTACTTCATTTTTTCATTTTGATTGTTTTATACTGATGCCAACTTATTGCATTTTTACGTATTATTATGTTACATATCCTTTTTGGAACAAGCTGGGTATTACAACATAAATTGGGACAGAGAGAGGAGAAAGACAGACTCTCAGTAATCCATGACTTAGCATGGTGTCTGAAACACTGTGGGTACTGAATCAAATCATGTTCTCCTAAATGAGACCCACCCTCTCTTTTTCCAAGTCGTCTCTCATCTGTTGATGTTCATGTTCGGTCAGTTCTTGGTCTCCATCTTGGTCATATTTTGTGAATATTGCCTCAATCTCTGCATCAGTATGGCCCTTCCTGAAATTATTGAGAGGTTACAGATGAAATCACTTGTGTACATAGTACAGTGAAAACAAAGGGACACCAAAATGCAGGAATAAAGGAGAAATTGCTGAATCAGGGCCAGCCCTTCTCTTATTAATATGTGCCAGAAAGACACCTACTCTGAAAAAAGAGCATCTCTATGAGTAAGTGGTTGGGCCAAAAATATCCTTATCACCAAGAACTTATCTTTCCATTAAGAATTTCCCTGGGCCTCAGAAAGAGTGATTCTTACCCTTTGAGATCTTGTCGAAGTTCATCAAAGTTTAACTTGCCTCCGCCTTGCCTCAGACTCTCAGAAATGTCATCCACAGTATTTTTTTTCAGTTTTAGTTTGACCAAGGCTTTATGGTAGCCCTGTTGAAAAGATTTGGTTTAGATTATTCTCTTTTTACATGCGCTTTACCATCCATTTACAGTAGTAACTAACTACCTGTGCAGACCTTGCTTTGCATGGTAGTTGCAGGATTATAAAAATGACCATGCAAGCCTGAACTATGTGAAGTGATGTTAATAATCAACAGGAAAAATCATGATTGCTCCGTGACCTTTGAAACCTTTTATGAGGGGCACCTTGCTGTCTCAGTCAGAAGAGCTTGCAACTTTTGATTGTGGGGTCATGTGTTTAAGCCCTGTGTTGGGTGTGGGGATTAATTAAACAAACAAACTTAAAAAACAACTTTTTATCAAAGCATTAAAATTTTCTTGGTGTTGGTTATAAACTTATTAGGAAAAATTTAAAAACAGTAAGGTGAATATTTATTTGGTACACTGAAATTTAAAACCTCAGAATCACTGAAAATTAAGATGTTTTATTTCTTTGTAAAAAATTTATCCAGAGTAGTCTGAACAGCGCTTGCTTTCTTCCTGTGTAATGTAGGATATGGAGTAAGCATCTTTTCTATGTCTTGGGGAGCTTTCATAATCTTTTCTTAATATGGGTCAGCTCCCAACATTTTATCCTTTGCATTTTCCATGTCATAACATATCTCCAAGAATTCCTTTAATGTGAAGTTGTTTGTTAGTGTCACTTCCTTGAAGACATTGTCAGCCTTTTCCTCATAACCACTGCCCTCATTCATGTTGATAAATGTGCTTCACTAAGCTCTTTGACTGTATATCTGTCTATCCATTGATATTCAAGACCTTGAAGGGTAGTAATGTCAACATTTCCACGCCCAGCTACGTAGCCTAGAAATCTGTTACACTGGTTTTGAATTTCACTTTCAGTGTTGTCATTCTTTGTTTCTTTGCTATGCTTTCATCTTTGCGGGCCCATTCTCCTTTTCCATCACGCATTCTTGCAAAATGTCACATGGGTTTTTCACAGGGAGATACAGAAGCAACACAACTACATGTTCTGTGCCTGAACTGAACAGCAGATGCTCAGGGACCAATCCTAGACTTTGTAAGAAGTGATGTTATGCTCACCGGTTATGATACACATCTGTTACTTATGTAATGATTTGTAGACTGAAGAGCCAGCAGTGAAGTTTATAGTCATGCTATTACAGTTAATATACTGTGATAACTAAGATATTCTGTGAGAATTGCAAGTTTGTACTTCTATACTATTATTCACAGTCAATATACTGTGATAACTGATATATGAACTGCGTTGAGAGGCTGGTGTTATTTAACTGAACTAATTGAAATCTGTGCATACCAGAACCAGAGCACAAAGTAAGGACTTCTTGTATATACGCTGGAGATTTGCTAACGTGTAATAAGCTGTCGTTGCAAAATTCAGGATAACACACATCTTAGGTCCCATGGAAGGGACTTTGTTTTAAGAACTGGAAGTTCTCTGTTCAAACAGGACAGACAACATAGTCCTATGACTTGAACCAACAGAAAAAGATCAGTCAAGGAGCCACTGGTATCTTAGCAAAATGATGTTAGGGAACAAGCTGTGTACTTCAGATGTAGTTATTTGTTGTTGCTTAAGTTTTATACTTTAGACCAAATAAAGAAGTCACATTGAAAAGAACAAAGTTACCCAGCTTTCCTGTCCTGCCCTTCCATTTAACAATTAACTTCCTGAGAGGGTGCGTGCTTAAGTGAAAGTCCTCAGACCCTTAGGCTGTGGCCTGATGCCATGGACAGTTTTCCTTTGACTATTTAAAAACTTCTCTGGAAGATCAAGGGTAAAGGGTGGACTACAAAATATTTGTTTCTAAACTTTTTTTTTCTCCTTTTAAATTGCATTTGAGATAGAAAAAAGCAGAGATGTCTTTATATTTTTCTCTTCCAATTTATTCTGAATTCTGGAACTGCAAGTGAGAGCCACCTGGAGGTATTGTCAAAATAAGTGAAGGTGATGAAGCCAGCAGCTCAGCTCTCAAGAGTCGAAAGAGATTGTTGAGAATTTAATTCTAGGGCATTTACGGGTTCCCAGAATTTAAGTCCAAGTTAACAGCATACCCATCTCTAGCTCTGAGACAGAGAACTTTTAAATTATTCCTGAAATGTAGCAATCTACTCTTTATGTTAACAATGACAATGGATCAGTGTTGCTGTGGAAATCTGGCTGAAACAATGCTCATTATATGTAGGGGATGAAAACAATGCTGAGACTTAGGGCTTGTCATACCTTTCTGATAAGATCTGAGAGTTCCATTTCAGCTTTCTGCTGGGCCAAATCAGATTTAACTTCGGAGTAAGTATCATTGATGATGGCCAAAAACATATTCTGTTTGTAAATCAAAGGAAAGTTGAGATTAAAGAAGAAACCTAAATATACTTTCTAAACATCAATCCAAAATTTGACATATGTATTTTTGTTCAGTTTTTTTTTTTAAGTAATCTGATGTCTTAAGAAGTCATAAATTAATAGTTTTGCTGTTATATTCTTTGGGAAAATTATTTTTTCCATTAAGTCATGCCAGAGGAAAATACAATATATTTTCTTACTTACAAACCATATATTGTGATACATTTTGCAAAAAAAGATAAGAACGAAATACAACAAAATATTGATGTATTTACTTATGGATGGTGGTATTACTCTATTTTATTATTTTGGCTTGTCTATGTTCTCTACATTTTTTTCATTTGACATGAATTATTAGAAATTTAGAACTCTACATAGTCTGTCAATACAGACAAGTAGAATCCTATGCTTATTCCAAATGTTGTTATATATTACTTGAGATTTACAGACCATGTTTTGAAGAGTTAAAAAAAGATCTCTCCAAATAGAAATACAGTAGGCTTCACAGAAGAGGCTTTAAGAAAAGCTTAGTGAAAAAGACAAAGACTTTGGAGTCAAGCACATTAGGGTTTCAGTCTTAGCACTGCCAAGACTATATTGTTCAAATTTTCTAATCTTTAGGGGTGCCTGGGTGGCTCAGTCAGTTAAGTGACCAACTTCAGCTCAGGTCATGATCTCATGGTTTGTGAGTTTGAGCCCTGCCTCGGGCTCTGTGCTGACAGCTCCGAGCCTGGAGCCTGCTTCTGATTCTGTGACTCCCTCTTTTGTCTGCCCCTCCCCTGCTCATGCTCTGTCTCTCTCTGTCTCTCAAAAATGAATAAAAACATTAAAAATTTTTTTCTAATCTTTATTTTAAAATTTATTTGTTCTTGCATTAATAAAGTAGAAGAAATAATAGTACAGATTTTTATAAGAATTAATGAGATAATCTATGTAAAAGTACTTAGGACAGGACCTAACGCATGGTAAGTGCTACATATTTATAGCTATTATTATTCAGTGACGGTTAGTTCATTTTCCTAACTTTTCCTCTCCCCAGGATAATGGTTTGTATTTCCAACAGGTTTTTCTTGAAGCACCACACCCAACTGATCCAGTCCTTCTTTAACACGCTCTTCCTTCACTTTTCCGTTTTGACACATAACTATGGTTTGAACTCAGAGTTGTGTATTTGATTATGTCTGTTTTCCCCACAAATCTGTGGAATTTTCATGAGGGCAGAGCTGGTCTCTTATTTTCCTTACCACTGTACCCCCAGTACATAGCAGCTTGCCTGGAAATAGTACCTCAGCAAATATTTATTGAATATTGGATGAATGAACAAATGGGAGCTCTATTATTTTTTTTTTTTAATTTTTTTTCAACGTTTATTTATTTTTGGGACAGAGAGAGACAGAGCATGAATGGGGGAGGGGCAGAGAGAGAGGGAGACACAGAATCGGAAACAGGCTCCAGGCTCCGAGCCATCAGCCTAGAGCCTGACGCGGGGCTCGAACTCACGGACTGCGAGATCGTGACCTGGCTGAAGTCGGATGCTCAACCGACTGCGCAACCCAGGCGCCCCAGGAGCTCTATTATTTTAATGGGCTACTAAATCATTGCAAGTTAAGGAGGAACACTACTTAAGATTCTGTAGCAGAAATGAGAATAAAATATAAAATGCATGTAAGTTCGTGGCTTAATGTTTAATTCCGAGTACAGACCGTTGCAGTTGGAGCAACATTCCCACCTTCTCCCTCCCAACCCAGGCAACTAATATTCTCTTTTTAAAAGTTTCCAAATGGCTGTTAGCTAATGCCTGCAAATATCTTAGGTGTAGGGTTAAAGGGTGGGTCCTCTGAAGAGATTTTTAAAAAACTGAAAGTGGCTGAGAAAGACTACTGAAAGTGTGGGGAGAGGAAGCCCCCCTCCTCTCCACCCTGTCTCAGAAGGTTTGCTTAATTGTGCAATCAGAGGTCTTTTCCTGGTGATGACAGGATTTTGCTTCCTGGCTCATTTGGGCCACCTCTCACCACGGTAGCTTCTTTTACAGCCAGGGCAATAAATTAACACCCGGCAGTCATCACAGAAAAATGGCCAACCCTGCACTCAGCCTGTCATTTCTTTAAAGAAAAATCTGTATTGACTGTAACTCCCCACCTCTCTCTGGGGGAGTGAGGGGTAGAGGAGTGGAGTTCAGGGAGAGCAATTCCTTTTTGTGTAACAGCACAAAAAATTACTTTAGTATAAAGACAGAAGCTGAACGCTTCTTTTCATGTTCTAGTGATTGATTTGATGAAATGACTGAAAAATTGCAGGGCACCGCCTACCAGAAGACAACATTCAAACAAGTCCACACTTGACCATTTCAAATTGCCACAGGTATGTTCCTCATTTGGCAGAAGGACACACAAAGAAAACTTAGGTGGCCAGCAGTTAACTAAAGGGTCCACTGCAGAGCTCTCAATTCCTGGTTTTTGTTTTCCTAGTAGAGATTCGGGGATTCAGATGCTCCAGAATCCAAAGTACTACCAATATTAGAGATGAAAAAGGCTTACTGTTCCATTTTTTTCTTTAACATATGATAGAAAAAAGAAACTAGAGAGGCTTAACTTTAAAACTAATAACACATTTATGCAAGATACAAATGGACTTGCATGATATCGCTGACTCTTTCAATCCTACCAAGGTAGATCTAATACTCAATCTGTAAATAACCACTAAATGCTTGGACCAACTTTGGGAATACTACGCTGAATTACTGAACTTTACACAAAGGATCTTATAAAATTTATTGAAAACGGAGACAATTTTGTTGTTTTCTTATGATGATGATTAATGTAAGGAAAGACTTAAGTATTAGTGTTTGGATAAAGAACACCCACCGCTGGGGTGCCTGGATGGCTCAGTCGGTTAAGCACCATACTCTTGATCTCAGCTCAGGTCATGATCTCATGGTTACTGAGTTCAGAGCCGTGCGTTAGGCTCTGTGCTGATAGCCTGGAGCCTGTTTGGAATTCTGTCTCTCCCTCTCTCTGCCCCTCCCTCCTTCTCTCTCTGTCTCTCAAAATAAATAAATAAAAAAAAATTTTTTTTCAATGGTTATTTTTGAGAGAAAGATGGAGTGCAAGCAGGGGAGGTGCAGAGAGAGAGGAAGGCACAGAATCCGAAGCAGGCTTCGGGTTCTGTGCTGTCAGCACAGAGCCTGATGCAGGGCTCGAACTCATGGATGGCGAGATCATGACCTGAGCCAAAGTCGGATGCTCAACCGACTGAGCCACCCAGGCGCCCCAAATAAATAAACTTAAAAAAAAACCACCCACTGCCTAGGTTAAGCTAACTTAAATGAATAATTACTCAGTAAAATGTGTAAATGTTAAGATGAAGAACAAAATGCCTTTTAAAAAATATTAATTAACTTAGGGTCAAAATGTTAAAAATGTTCATTTGTACCAAATCAAGAGAATGAAAAGTTATTTTTGAAAGTGACTTTTAAAGCAATTTCCATCCATTGTTAGATCTAGTTTTAAATTTAAAATTTGAATACTCTCTGTGGGCAGTCTCTAGATGTGTTAAATATAAGTAATTCAAGACAAAGTATCTTAAGCTTGACAAGCAATAATTAACTGATATATTACTCTTGACATCCTGGATCTAGCTTGCTTTGTCAGTTCCTACTTCTTTTTTTTTAAAGAAAAGAGGAAAAAGAGGAATGAAAAGTCATGCTAGCAAGTGATCATGAAAGTGCTGACATCTGTGTTAAAAAAGGCTGTAAATATGTAAGTAGTCTATTTTTAGGCAAAGCATTATTTTAGGTGACTTTATCAATTTGCATGTGACCTAATTTTTTTTTACATTGAATAGACATATATATGGATAAATGAAAGACAATGCAAAAGATTATTTGGTGACGACTTAAAACTGAATCAATGAGAAGTAAAATAAAATATGTATTCTCATCTACAGTTTTTCCTGAGTCTTTTAAAAAATAAGGACTCTAGAGCATGAGAGAAAAAGGAAGATGGTGATTTATGAAGTTTAAATCACCTCACTGTAAACAAAAGTGTACATACCAAAAGAATGAAGAACATAAAGAACACAAATGTAGTGAAATAAATTGGTCCCAAAACTCGATTAGCTTCCTCAATCTCTGCGAAGTTGATATCACCCAAAATGATACGGAATTGAGTGAAGCTATAAAAACAAAACAAAACAAAACAAAACACTACAATACAAAAACAAAGACTGTTCAGCATTGATGTAACATTTCCTAAAGATGATTTCACACTTTTGGACCTCTTTATCAGTGTGCACAGCTGCCAGATAATAGAAAATTGTCAGTCTCCTCGGAAAATTCTTGCTAACTATTCAAGCAATTGAAGCTTTCTGGAATAAAAATCATATACTTTTGTGCTAAATACATTATTTCCATTTGGTTAAAAAGAAAATACAATGATTATTAGATGACTCATAAAGCAACCAGTTACAAGAATTTAATCCATAATCTGGCTAAAACATGGATGGTTAACTCTAAACTTCACCATGGTCACCCTGGGTCTGAATTTAAAACCTCTTTAAAAAAAAGACTTTGAAAGATAGCCAAAATTGTATGCATTCAAAGATCCAATATCCTCACACGCTCTCAAAGTGGTGTTGAGTGGCGGTGTGTTGCCAATGCTGGGTTCTTAATCAGTAAAATCATTTCCCTTTCCGACTTCCATTGATCAGCAACATTAATTTGGTATCCCCCAGCACAAAAAGCCCTTTTAACTTCTATTATCATAATCCTCTTCTCCTTTCCTGACTGACTTCTTTCCAAATGGCATGGAAATGTAATATTGGTTATTTTTTTTTTTTTTTTTAGTCTTAATATCATATATGAGAACTTTGGAAAAGGACAGAAAATTCCTACATCAGTTTGAGTTTCTCGTAGAATATTAGAAATACTATTTTTTTTCTAGAAAATAACCTGAAGTTTAAAATACGTGGCAACAATATTGAATAAGAATGAAAATCTAGGCAAATGGTCTCTTAAAAGCTACCATCGGCATTTGGTGCTAAGAAGACCTCTGTCTTTGTAATCATATTGGTTTACTGTAGCTGTTCTACTATCTCTTATGACTTTAGAGTTGCTACCTTAAGTTTATCAGTATTATACATTGTCATCTTTACATTGGTGGGTAATTGCTTCTGGGAAAGGTAATTAATTCTTATTTTTAAATAACTATTTAAAACTACTTGGTGGTTAAATAGCAACCATAAAGATTTCTTTATCCTTGAGGAGGCAAGGACAGCTCTGATTAAACTTTTCTTTTATAATTTCATATATACTTACATACACTCTTGGAAGGTACTGAAGTCATCAACCTGAGTGCCAAAGACAAGGTATGCCAACTGAGCATATGCTAAGAAGATGATGAAGAACATAATTGCAAAGCCAAAGAGGTCTTTGGCACATCGAGACATGGTTGTGGAGAGCTGACTCATGGTCCTGTTAAAGTTGATGAATTTGAAGAGCTGTAAGAGAGGGAAGATATCAACAGATGAATGGGTAAACAAATATAGTATATACACACAGTGGAATATTACCCAGCCTTACAAAGGGATAAAGTTTTGATCCATGCCACAACATGGATGAACCTTGAAAACATTATGCTAAAGTGAAATAAGCCAGACATAAAAAGACAAATATTGTATGACCCCAGTAACATGGGGTAGCTAGAATATGAAAATTCATAGAGACAGAAAGTAGAATAGAGGTTACCAGGGGCTGCGGTGAGGCGGGAATTGGGAGTTAGTGTTTACTAGATACAGTTTCAGCTGGAATGCTGAAAAAGTTCTGGAAATATATATGATGGTTGCACAACATTGTGAATGTAACTAATGCCACTGAATTGTACACTGAAAAATGGTTAAAGTGATAAATTTTATGTTAATGTGTATTTTACAACATATTTTAAAAAAGAAAAAAGTTCATTATTTATTTTGAGAAAGAGAGAACGAGCATGAGTGGGGGGATGGGCAGAGAGAGAGGAAGAGAAAATCCCAAGCTTCCCAACATTTTTTTAAGAGAGAGAATAATGACTTGCTTTTGTCCCCAAACCCAGCAACTTCTATTTTCTCATTCAAAAAGTACTTGTTGAATGCCTACCATGTGCCAGGCACTATTCTTGGAGTTGCAAACAGCAGTGCACAGAACAAAGCTCCTCCCCTGATGTTGCTTACATTTTACATGATGGTTACAATACAGTAAAAATAGGTTTAAATCATAATTAAGATGATTAGTGATATTTTTACCCCAAGAAAGATTGAAATAAAAGAGGAATGGGGAGGGGCACCTGGATGGCTCAGTCAGTTGAGCATCTGACTCTTGATTTCAGCTCAGATCATGATCTCAAGGTTCATGTGATTGAGCCCCACATTGGGCTCTGTGCTGACAGCACACAGCCTACTTGGGCTTCTCTCTCTTTCCCTCTCTCTCTGCCCCTCCCCTCCTTGCTGTCTCTAAATAAATAAATAAATATTTTTAAGAAAATAAATTAAAAGAGGGAAAAAAACCCACAAGTGAAAACTAGTTAAAAAAAATCCCTCCAGGAAATATTCATCGCATGTTATTAACTGTGATTTATTGTTTAGCAATGATGTGCCAGGTACGGTGGAAAGAGCAATGTACACTGCCTCAGGTCTTTGCCATGATTTAAATACTGGTATTCTACCCCCAGGTGTCAGCCAGGGCTCAGAGCCAGCCGTCTAGCCCAGCGCTATCTGACTGCCAAATCATATTGAGCATTTCTGTAAACGAGACACTAAGGATGGCTGTTCAGGATGTTCCTCACAGCCCAGGGGCATGACAACCTGTGGCATAAGTCTTGGGGGAAGAACGCTGGGAGGACACATCAGAAGTCAAGTTGCCATCCCTGCCTTAAAGAACTTAATGGTTCTTAAAGTTTTGGGAGAATGTTTACAAGCAAAACACTAAATAAAATGCTCAACCTGAGGGACACATTGAAAGGGAATCTCTAGAATTTTACTTAAAGAACTCTTACAAATTGTTTCTGGCCACAGTAAAATTTTTTTGAGGGTTGTGGTAATCACATTTCTTTATGTAATTCCTATTAGATTTGGACTATTATTACTATTTTATGATAAAGGTTTGGTGTATTAGTGGTGGTTTTTCCTGAACAAGCATGTAACTAAATAAATAGGAAGAGAGGATGAGATCTATATCCTCTGATAAATCTCAGGCCTTTCAGGTGTGAATACCAATTCAGGAAAATAAATAACGTTACCTTTTAGAACAGTGCTGTTCAATCAAACTTTCTGACATGATGGAAATGTTCTTTATTTCCATTGCCTTATATAGTAGCCATCAGCTATATACAGACATTGAGATCTTAAAATGTGGCCAGAGTGACTGATGAACTGAATGTTTAACTGTATGTAATTTTAATTAATTAAAATTTAAATTTCAATAGCCACTTGTGGCTAGTAGCTACTGTCTTGATAGCAGAATCATAGAATTTGACAAGTGACAGCTGGGGAGCTACCCCCATTATTACTAAAATTTTCTGCATCTCCAGAATTGAGGCTCATTTGTGTATGAAATGCCCTAACCTTTCACACACATGGAAATGCACACTGTTTTGGAAAAGGAGATGAGTCATAAAGGTACTACTCAGAAGTGTATGTATTTGTCCCAACCTCAATTCTAGGTAAAGCCATATGGCTATATGGCCTCCACCTGGGAAAGAGACAGTCCTTCCACAGATCATTTATAGTGCATCTCTCTGTCCCTCCCCATCCTCCCCAACTTGTTCTTAGTTCCCTTTCCTTCACCTGGTCACCCGATATCAGGTAAAACTCAACCTGTCCCTGTGTTAGTGTAGCTGAGGGCCACAGACCCAAAGGACACTGAGAAGGTGTCTTATTGCATTTGTGAAACAAATCTGCAGGGACTGGTTTTGCAAAACTGCAGGTAGTAGGAAGCATCATACACAGTTAGATGAAAGATCACATGAATCCTGCTAGCTTACTTGTAAAATATGAAGCAGCTCTGGCTGGCATTTGAATTTAACCACAAAAGCACACTCAAGTCCTCCAACATTTTGTGTGACTCATGTTAATAAAAAGAAGGGAAAGGGGCGCCTGGATGGCTCAGTCGGTTAAACGTCCGACTTTGGCTCAGGTCATGAGCTCACAGATCATGAGTTCGAGTCCCGTGTGGGGCTTTGTGCTGATAGCTCGGAGCCTGGAGCCTGCTTCAGATTCTGTATCTCCCATTCTCTCTGCCTTACCCCCGCCCCCACTCTCCCTCCCCTTCTCACTCAAAAATAAATAAACATTAAAATTTATTTTAAATAAAAAAAGAAAGGGAAAAATATTATTGAAAATCAGAACATGAAGTTTGTAAATTACCTTAATCCAGACAAAAAATACTATGACAGCAGCTATATTGTTGAACTGTATTTGCCAGTATGCCAGATGTTCAAAGTTGGGAAAAGTATTTTGATCTTCTAGAAACTGTAGTAGCACCTCCACATTTGATGTTCTATATATGTTAATTCCTATAGCTACCACTGACAGCTGGAAAACAAAAGATTTATATATTATTACAGTGTTTTAGAAATATGCAACTTACCTTAAAATGACTATTTTTTCTTACCCATGTATTACTCCTAGGGCTCAGCAATCTACTTATCCAAATCACTCATACAAATGTTAAATGCTGAGCACAGCCATAATACAAGTAAAACAATAAGCTGCTTGCATTCCCTTTGCTAGGAACAGAAATCCAATAAATGCATGTGTCCATGTGCACAAACACATGAGAGATGTTGCTGTATTACAAAATCAAATTCAAATAGGATGCCTTGTTTTTTCTGCCACTCTCCTTTAAATCACTTTCCACCCTTCTGCTTTCTCAGCCTCATCTTGCTTTTTTTTTTTTTTTTTTTTTTTTTTTTTTTTTTTTTTTTTTTCAGTTGCCAGCCATCCATTCCTTCTACTATTTAACAAATACGTAGTGGACATCTATGTATACAGCACTGTGCCAGGGGCTAAGAGGAACAAACAGAAGTAAAATGCACAAACTCTGTTCTTAAGAAACTTACACTCTGGTTCAAGACCAGGTACACACACAAAAATAAGCAACCCAAAAGCCTACTAAGGAGTTGGCATTGTACAACATAAGGTGAAGGGTGAAACAAGACATTCTAAAAGGGGTGGTCGAAGGAAAAAGAATATGCTTGGTCTTAAAGGATGGTGGGAATGATGGTCAGAGAGGGCTCCAGAAGGCTTGCAGTGGGAATATGTGTGAGCCAAGGGTTTCCCTCTTGTTTCTGTTCCTTACCCCACGACCATGCAACTTTCCACATTTGCTTCAGTTCCGGACCGAAAACATTGGTCCCTACGTGCATCCATCATCACTGGATTAAGGTATATGTATGGAAAGTGCTAGGGGTTAACCATCACAACCTGGGCTTCCTAATGGGATCTGAATCCACAGCAGGTGTGCTGTCCTAGGTGCTGAGACCTTTGCTGTCCATTCCTTCTCTCTTCTCATGAATGATGGTCAAAGACCACTTCATTAGCCCTTCTTGAAATGGCTTCTTGATCATGACTCCAGGTGATTATCATAGCAGAAACCTGCCTGGATGCCAATCTTTACCATCTTTTGTTTTCTGTAAAGAACTTCCAGAGCAAATCTTGTATTTTTGTGCTAGTGGTAGGATTATTTTCTTTGAGCTCTCTGAATACACTGAAAATGTTTCTCTATGTTGACTTAGTTGAGAGGGAAGGGTTGACTGACTGAATAACAATAACCCTTTACCCAGCTCTCACTAGGTATAGTTGCTTTGTTCATTTATACAATATCAATATCATATCAATATACTAAATTTCCTTGAGATGTTTTCTTCAAAATAGAGAATGAGAGAAAAGATGAGAAAAGAGATTTTGTAAGCATTTGAGTTATGTCCTGGGTTTTCTTTGGGATTGTCATCCTCATCTACGAAAGAACTTTCTTTCCTTAACATAAACTTCATAAGGGCAGGAGTTTGGGCTGTTTGGTTCTTTCCTATATCCCCAATGCCTAGAACAATGCCAGACACATAGCAGGTGCTCAGAAAATCCTTGTTGAATAAATTAATTAATAATTATCACCCTTGAAACCTACCAATCAACAAAATTATTTGAATTTAGACTTTTTAACAGTCTTCTTTTTTCAGTAATTCCACTAGTTTTGAAAGATCACTGTTTAGGTCAAGTGGTTGACTAAATTAAGTCTACAGATTTCGAAGTCTTTGTTGGAAGAAACAAAAGGAAAATACAAAAAATGATTTCAGAGTGGTTCCAAGAGGTTGTAATTATATTTATCACATAATTACTTTTCAAGTTTCAGGTGTGCTTTAGCATAGTTGGGCCAGATAAAATAAAAACACCTTTGCTTTTTTCATGGGGTTGAAGGTCCAGTGGAGCACAGGACTTGTTTTGGGGATGAGCAGAAAGCATGCCCTTATTTCTGCAAGGTCAGAGAAGGTTTCAAAGGAGAAGTTGGATTCCAGTAGCCCTTCCTTGTTCTTTACAAAAGCACACTGTCTGAATTGTTGTCTTGGCAGTACTAAGAGTTAAAAAAAAAAAAAAGAACAATAGCACAGTGAAGCAAGTTTTCAAAGAAATACTTGCAAAATCTTGTGGCTGCTGAGCCAAAGAAACTATCCTTAATTTCCATGACATCATCAGTTATTTTCTCCAAAGCAGGTACAAGGCGATTCACTGAGGTGTGGGAATAAAATATTAAAACTTCTATCCAAGTGAAAAGAAAGTGCTAAAATTCTATTTGTATTTATTTTTAACCAAATCTTTCAAATTTTATGTTGTGTATGTTTGTACAAGTGTATACACACACACACACGCTACAAATATATGGAATACATTAGGGTGTGTTGTCAAAGTTCTCACGTATAGGTGTACATAATCAAAAAGGTTCATTGCCACTGACTAGTCTTTTGTTGATATTAAAGGTATTTGGTTAAAACCCAAACAAACCTGCCACTAACCAGCATACTATCACACTTTTACCATTATTCTCAATGACCTAAACTATAAATATACCCATATAAACTAAAAAAGCAGGGTTTGCAAGCTTGGAGTCCCAAACAATAATTGTTTTCTAGAATAGTTTTCAATGTAGATGGACTGCACTCTTCCATCATGTAGTACAGAAATATTCTGAAAAATTCTTCCAGTCTCATGGCCTTTCCTCCCTCCTTAAATAGCGAAATGTCTTTGTTACTCTGTTATTATTAATGTATTGAGAATCTGGGGATCAAGAGCTTACCTACAGGAATTGTGTGATGTGACACAAGCCATTGTGCATCAAGGTTGAATGGCTTCCACACAGTATTCTGGAGGAATTCTTATTTTAAGTAAAAACTCTTTATGAAGAGCACATGCATGTAGCTTGAGAGGCAATAGAAGAGTGGCTAAGAGGGTTATTGTGAGGATTAAACATACTTCTGTATATGAAAAGCACCGGGAACTGTGTCTGACACACATAACTTCTAAAGTTTTAGTGATGATGATGATTATTATTGCTCGTGTTAATATTTTTTTTTTTTTAATTTTTTTTTTTCAACGTTTATTCATTTTCGGGACAGAGAGAGACAGAGCATGAACGGGGGAGGGGCAGAGAGAGAGGGAGACACAGAATCGGAAACAGGCTCCAGGCTCCGAGCCATCAGCCCAGAGCCTGACGCGGGGCCCGAACTCATGGACCGCGAGATCGTGACCTGGCTGAAGTCGGACGCTTAACCGACTGCGCCACCCAGGCGCCCCAGCTCGTGTTAATATTTGTGCAGTATATATCTATATAGTTCTTTTCAATGTCTTAAGCATTCTTTTATTCAAACATGAGGATTTTTTTCTATGTTTAAAACATATTAATAACATATTTCAGAAAATATTTTTCCCTATTTTGCCAACTAATTCTAGTGATGATCTGATAATGACTTGATGTAAATGCTTCACAAAGCCCAAACGAATTTTTGGTTGCTGGGGGCTGGGGGAGAATAGTGGCCAAGAAGTAGGGTAACAGAAAAGGGCACCCTGATAGGATAATGCATCACTTAACTGAGATTTCAAAGGGGCATCTCTATCATCAGACGGAGGATGATGGTGGAAAGGATGGACTTTTAGGCATGTAACAATTAAACATGTCTTTATATGCTTCAATGTGTAACAGGACTCAGCAAAAGATTACGTGTTCTCATTGATGGGAGAAAAGTTTGCAAAAATGCATTTCTCTACGGAAGCCCCTGGAAGGAAGTGATTAAGCTGATGTGGAAGGGAAACCATACTGAACAAGTGTAAGAAGTTATAATAGAGTCAACGGCACGCAGGGGATCTACAAGATGCCATAGTCTCGACTCTATCCTAGCTGCCTTCTGGTTTCTTGCACCGGATAGAGAAAACGTTGATGGTCCCTCACCTGTATTTTGTACACTGTGGACTATTTTCAGGAAATTTTAAACTACAAGGAAATTTTCTCTACCACCCCAAATATTTTCAAGATGCTTCTTCTTGCTCTAACTTTACATATGTGCAGAAAAATACAAATTAATTTTTGTTAGCAGTGAAGAAAAATATAATTAACAAAAAACAGAATAGACAAAACATTGTTTTCTGTGTCCCATCTCATATGGCATGCCAAAGCCAAATGTGAATTACTAAGTTATTCTTTTTTTGTGTCTTGGAACTTGTGTGTATCAGCACATAGCGATCACTTTAATTTTTTTTCAAGTTTATTTATTTATTTAAAGTCATCTCTTAAAGTGGGGCTCAAACTCACAACCCTGAGATGAAGAGTCGCATGCTCTTCCAAATGAGCCAGCCACATTATTCTGGTTATTTGTGTGGCTAATTGATAGCTTATTATAAATACCTCTCCACTTCTATATTCAGAAGGGTTACTCATACAAAATGAGAAAATAATTGGTAACACTGAAGTTGATATATAGGAAACAGAACTTTTAGATTCTCCTTCAGGAATATCAGGATCCACAATACAGAGGAGATAGATCAAGGACTCTAATTAACATGTTTTTATAACAGAGTACGGAATTTTCTATTGTTCTCAAACCTACCACAACAATCACAACATCCAGACAATTCCAGAAACTTCTGAAATAGTGTAGCTTGTGAATGCGAATTTCCAGTATCTCTTCCACCACATAGTAAAAGATAAAAAAACAAAAGATAATCTCACAGGCTGCCAGGAAGAAATCAAAAGTCGTGACATAGCGGATCAGCTTTACAGGCTGAAATTGCCAAGATGGAATCACACCGCCTGTTGCTGGAAATTCAACCAATAACCTGCATTACAATAAGAACAGTTAAAACAGTAACAACAACAACAACAACAACAACAACACATGGATGCAGCCAGGAAAGGACATCCATCTACTCTGTCCCTGTACTAACAGGTCCTAAAATTGTAACCACAAGTCACCTCAAACTAGTGGCAGAATATTTTTGATCACAGCTAATAGCTGTGTTCTTGTACAATTCTGTGCCCCCAAAGGAACAAGGCTCCCCAAGTCCTCCTAAAGAGATTATTTCTCCTCAGTTTCCCCTTTACTTTTCTGTTACTTATACTGCTCAAAATGCTCTATAGTTCTTTTTTTTTAATGTGGAAGTTAATCAACAAAGAAGCCTTTCTAGGACTCCTATTAAATACAAGTAATCCTAGTAGGCATGAAGAACATAAGAAATATAACTCATGCATTCAAACATGTATGGTCTGTTGAGAAATAGGATGTGTGTGTGTGTGTGTGTGTGTGTGTGTGTGTGTGTGTACACACACACACACACACACACACACACACACACATATATACATATATACACACAGACTGAGCTTCTCATTCATTCACTTGGTAACACCTAACTGGCATTGAGTAAGTTGTTCTGGGGACTATTCTTGCTTCCCTTCCCAGAGCCTTATAGTTAATAGGTGCTCAGTAATGTCTGATAGTCTAAAACAGTAACGCGAATTTTTTTTTACATTCATACTGATGGCACCGAGTCTTAGTGCTTTAGCATATTTGAAGTGAGGATGTTTCTTGCCAACTTCCCATTTTATAGGTGTCACACTGAGAGAGTTAAATCATTCACTTAATGGTGCAGTTCCCCTATCAAAGTAGAAATAGAATATCTACCTCCTTAATGTTAAGATTCTGAAAAGACCTTTAGTTAACTACCAGGTGTAACCTTCTCTTCCGTTACAGGATGGGTAGCCACACCCAGAGCCTGAGTATCTAAGACTCAAGCATGAGCAATAATCAGGTCCAGGCAGAGACAATGGTAAATTAGAACTGGTCAAAGAAGTATGAAAATTTTTCCTTCCTCTTCACTGTCAATCACTGTTTTTTGTTTTTTTTCTCATTTGATGTGTTGGAGACCAGGGCAATAAACAAAAACCTGGGAGAGCAATACAGAAACAGCGAGCCTCGTGATAGCCTCAGTGTAAATGTGGAAGGCAGAAAGTAGCTTGTGTGTGTGAAGTAATCTCTTTTTGTCCTGTTCTGGCCCTGCATCTGTTAACTTCTCCAGAAACGTAGGCAGCAACATACAGAAAAGAAGTAATTGCCTTGACAATATTTACTCTTAAAGTATGGGAAGGAAGTGAAAGACATACTCAAGACCTTCTATAAATAGATATTTCCTTAAATGTCAATCAGAGTTGACTGCCTGAGTTGACTGTTTTTATCCTCTTTCTATTTGCCCTGAAATCATTAGGAAAAGTTCAATAATAATTGCAATCATTATTCAATCATTTCTAGTAATAGCTGTTATTTGACTTAATGTGACATCATTTCCTGTGAAAGTTGTTAAATAAGTAGTCTGGGAAAATCCAACTGGCCTTGTAAAGCAGATTTGAGTTTAGCCTCAAAAATGATCACAAAATAAGGATGAGAATTTATGCTTCTTATTTGGTAGGTAGATATATGTGAAAGTAAGTCATGTCAGTGATGTCTGGGTGTTGCTGACACATTCACCAGGAGGATTAAAGTGGGTGAACTCTGACTCTCCCTTGCCTTTGTTCTGCTTTTTTCTTTTTTTATAGCACATATTACCTTCTAACCTACTATTTGTTTCTTTTGTTTATTGTTTCTTGTCTATTATCTATCTCCTCCTGGTTTAACACAAGCTCTGCTAGAGCAGCTATCTTTATTTTGTTCACTGATGTGGCCCAAGTGCTGAGAACAGTACCTGACACATATTAAGTGTCCAATAAATGTTTGCTGAATAAGTGGATGAATGAACAATAGGCCCCAGACAAGCCAGTAGGTCTTTGTTAGTTTCCTCACTGTTAACCAATGTGACTGTGATGGCAATGTCACAGGATCTGGAGAAGGAATATTATGTGCCTTTGGTGAATCTCAGTGTTAGCAGGTACCTGGGTATCCTACCGAACCTAGGCATACCCTCTGACTACTGTGCTTGTGTTCTGATAGCATGGGCATCATTTGAGAGTGGGAAGCTCAGGGAAACAAGTCACTGTTTGATGGCCAGAGGCCATGGTAACAGAGCATATAGCATTGATCATCATTATAATGAGTAAAAAGAGATGTTAGCAAAACATAGTGCTTTTTTTCTGAGAAGGTTCCAGCTTTGGGATAAACCTGGACCAGTCTTAAGGTTCTTTCCAACTCATAATATTCTAGGATTCTAGTTCCCTTTCCCCAAATATATTTATCCCACTGAGCCTTTGGTTTTCACCCTTCCCTTGCTGTCAGCTCTGATCTTTGGCAGTCCTTCAGCCAGCCGCAGGCAATGGTCTCCTGGTCTATCTCAAGACTAGGATGTACATACAAAGACACTGAGGTGGGAGGGACCAGCGCCCTTGGTACACACCTGATCACACAGAACAGGTTAATGTTGGCGTTGTATACTGAAAAGTCAATAAAAGTTGCCCTGGTTCCTCGGTCCAGCCAGACATTGTTCTTGAGGCTAGCGACCTGAGCGGCTGTCTCCTCTCTTGTTCTTGACAAATCCAGGTAATAGCCAGCTCCACTATAGGTTGCAATCATTCCCCAGTGGCTACTCCCATTCAAGTCTTCTTCACTTGTATATATCCAACTAATTAAAACATGAAATGAAAACAAAACAAACAGATAAAATCAGTGGAACACTTGTGGCATTTATAAAGATAGTTGGTTCCTGGTGAGATAGAGTATGTAATAAATAACTCTAAGTCTTATCAAGCTGGGTAATGTGCTTGGAGTAGTGCTTCATAAATGTCTTTCTTTCTTTCTTTCTTTCTTTCTTTCTTTCTTTCTTTCTTTCTTTCTTTCTTCCTTCCTTCCTTCCTTCCTTCCTTCCTTCCTTCCTTCCTTTCTTTCTTTCTTTCTTTCTTTCTTTCTTTCTTCTTTCTCTTTTTTAGAGACAGCACAAGCAGGGGAGGAGCAGAGAGATAGAGAGAAGAGAGACACAGAGAGAGAGGATCCCAAGCAGGCTCTTCACTGTCAGTACAGAGCCCAATGTGAGGCTTGAACTCACAAACCAAGAGATCATGACTTTGAGCCGAAACCAAGAGATGGACACTTAACTGACTGAGCCACCCAGGTGCCCCTAATTTTCTTTTTAAGTTTATTTATTTATTTTGAGAGAGAGATAGTATGTGAGCAGCGGAGGGAGAGAGAGAGAATTCCAAGTAGGCCCTACACTGACAGCACAGAGCCAGATGTAGGGCTTAAGCTCACGAACTATGAGATCATGACCTGATGGTCCAATCCCTTTACACTAAATCTAGCCAAAACCTAGAACCAGAGGCCTAACCAACTTAGCCACCCAGGCACCCCCTTATTTAATTCTTATACACTTATTATCCCCCTTTTAGGTATGAGGGTCCTGAAGCTTAGTGAGGTCAATTCAATCTCGATGCTTTTGAAGGTATTGTCAGGAGCCTACACCAGGACTGTCTCTAGAACCTGTGCTATTCACCCTTAGTTTATGTAGCTGCCTTCCCTGGGTAACTATACTCAGGGGCTAGATGACTCTAGGCTCCCAGAGAAAACTGCAGCCAAGAGGTACAAGTTCATCAAGTACCACTGTTGGCAACTGAACTAAACAAGACTCCACAGGGCATTTGGGTGTTTAATCCACAAGTATTGAGAGAGGCTCTCTTAGGAACCAGAGGCTTCTTTCGCATTAACAGGGATATAAAGATGGACCAAGTTCCTTTCCCTCTCACATTTATAGTAAGTAGGAAGATAAAAGTTGTAATTAAACAATTAAAATACAAGGTAGATGGATGATAAATCCAACAGAGAAGTATAGAGAAATTGCTCTGGCAGATCCTTGTCTGGGGTCCGGCGACAGCAAAGGTGCATAGAGAAAGCTTTGGGAAGAAGCTGCAGCAGACCTGGGCTGTGAAAGATAAGTAGGATTCAGGCAGGCTCAAGTGGATGAGAAGGGCATTTTCTTTTTTTTTTTTTTTTTTAACGTTTATTTATTTTTGGGACAGAGAGAGACAGAGCATGAACGGGGGAGGGGCAGAGAGAGAGGGAGACACAGAATCAGAAACAGGCTCCAGGCTCTGAGCCAACAGCCCAGAGCCTGACGCGGGGCTCGAACTCATGGACCGCGAGACCGTGACCTGGCTGAAGTCGGACGCTTAACCGACTGCGCCACCCAGGCGCCCCAGAAGGGCATTTTCAAGCCTGAGCCAGGTGAGGCTGGAGAAGTACAAGGCATCCAGCTGGTAGTTGAGTTCAGCTCCCATATGATGAAGAAAGAAACGTTGAAAGGTAGACTGTGATCAGATTGTGAAGAGCAAGCACGAAGTAGTCACTGAGGGAAGGTTTCTGAGAGGCACTGAACGGAGTTCCTCTGGTGGCTGCAGGAAAGACTGGAGTGGTGAGGAATAGACAGCTCATGTGCAGAAAAGTTGCCATAGCAGGTCTGAGATGGCCCTTTATTAGGAAGGCCTGCTTGCAAGGTTGGGCCTTAGCTGTTCTGAACCTTGACTAATAAACAGCTCCCTATATTGACATAAAACTTTGATACATAAGAGTGGCTAACTGTGCCTAGCCTGTCTGTACAAACACAGTGGCTTATGCTTAACACCTTCTTTCCTCCTAGGAGTCTGGGATTTGGGTACATGCCAGACAATGGCTGCCTATGTGACCAGGAGCCAATAAATACCTCAGGCAGTGAGTCTCTAATGAACCTCTCTGACAGATATTGTTAGGACTTGTTACCAGAGGAATTCGGCATGTCCTATGTGACTCCACCAGGAGAGGACTTTTGGAAGCTTGCACTTTGTTTCCTCCAGACTTTGCCCCACATGCCTGTACCTTCTTCTGCTTTTGCTTTTATCCTTTCACTGCATTAAACCTTAGCCACAAACATGACTAGATGATAAATCCTGTGAATCCTTCCAAAAAATCCCTGAACCAGGGTGTGGGCCTGGGGGACCTAACACAGCTCAGTTAGCAGTCCCTGCAATAGGCCAGACATGATGAGGCCTGAGCCAGATCAGTGATAGGAAGATAGGAAGACAGACAGGAAGGACAGAGATACGACACTGCAGTGACCGTCAGAAGAACTTGGCCTCTGATTTGGAAGTTGGGGCAAGGGAGAAGTGACATCTGAAAAATGATTGGAGACTCTTTGAATAATGCAAAGGAGAACAGACCCGATAAGAAAGTGAGGAATTCAGTTTGGTCAGACTGAATTATAGGAGCTGGTGGGACATTGGTGGGATATAGTGTTATTTTTTGTTTTCTGTCACTAGAACACAGGCTCTGTGAAGACAGGGGATTTGTTTCTGTTTTGTTTCTTGCTGTTTTGTTGCCCTAGCCAGCACCAAGGGCGTTTCTAGAAAAAAGAGACCTCACTGGGAAAATGCCTGGCACAAGTAAACGCTCGGTACATTTGATGAAGAAATGATAAATTATCAAATAGGGATGAGAGAGGAAGTCAACTGAGTGTCAAGGAAAAAAATGTACAGAAAGAAAAGATCTGAATATAGAATGAACGTAGGAATAAGACAGAAGTGGGAGGGGTTAAGAGGAGGATTACAGAATGAAGGGAACTCAAGCATCACTCTCAGAAGTCACAAGAACGAGCAATCAACACCGCCAAGTTCTGCAGAGATGCCAAATGGGATGTACATCAAGAATGGGTCAGTGGGTTAGCAAACTCAATAAATCCACTGGTGGCTTCCAAGAGAGATGTCCAAAGCACAGGTTTAAGCTTTAAGGGGTGAATCAATGGTAAGGAAATGGACGTGGCGAGTGAAGGCTATTCTTGCCGGAAGTTTGGAGTTCAAGGGAAGGAGGAATGGGAGTAATTTGAGAATAGGGCAGAATCAAGGGGTGGTTTAGACACATGGCAGTCCATCCATGGTGGATGGAAATCACCCACTCACCCATGCCTCCAGCAGACATTTACTGAGTAGCTTCAGACAGCAGGCAGTGCTCAAGGCTTTGAGAATACAGCAGTGAACAAAATACAGTCCCCACCCTCAAGAAGCAGGAGTGCTGATAAGGAGCTGATGGTGGCAAGGAGCCACCCTAACAGTGTAATTAATAGAGAAGAAGCAATGTGGTTTAGAAGAAACATGGGTTTTGGAGTCAAACTGGTTTAAGTGCTGTGACACTTTGGGTAAGTGAGCTTCAGTTTTTTCATCTACAGAACGGAGATGACACCTATTTTCAGAGTTGTTTTGTGAAAAGCAGATGAGATAATGCATGAAATCCCTTCTTAAGTAGCGTCTGGTAGTGGCTGTATCCATTTCTCTCACTAATGATATGAAATTGAGTAAAATATTAGACAAAGTACCATAGTTTAAGGGCAGGAACTAGAAAAAGGAGCAGTAGACAAAATCATTACCAAACCTGGAAGAAATGTCTTTGGGATGATTCAATCCCTTTATGCTAAATCTTCTGACGTTTACCTAGTTTGTTCCTTACGGACCCTGGGACTAAATAAAATATGCATCGGATGATAAACAAAGAATCTGATCATTGGAGAGCTGTTTGCCCCCACTGTATAATTGACAAATCTGGAGTGTGGGTGTCTCAGTTCCCAAGAAAGGGATCTAGGGGAACTGACAGAATTAGGTTAGAAAAGTTTAGAAGACACTTCTAACCATAATGACTCACTCAGGGGCAGTGACCCTAAGAGGGCCACCTTGGGACCGCTTGAGAGCTCTTCTTAAATTTTTATAGTAACTACCGTAATTCTAAAAGTAATGACTATCCTCCCTTAATACACAAGATATTTTAAGTATGGTTACAAAAGAATCCCAAAAATCCCTGCAAATACCCACAATGACAATACATACTCAACATCATAAACACATCTTTGAGAGGACAGGCTTTAAACCAGACAAAAAACTGCCTCCCAAGCTTATTAGACACTTTAAATAACTGTACTATGAACAAAGATATATTTGTAAATTCTAGTAAGATGAGAATTTCTCTACCAGAATAATTTCCAGTAATAACCTAGTGAATTATATCAATGGATCTAGAAAAACAGGAACGAGTCATCTTAAAAGAAACCACCAAAGGCCCAAATAGCCTCTTTCTTGTGGGCCATGTGTCAACAATTTAGCCTGTTGAAAAATTTGTGTGCAGAAATTGAAGGGGGTAAAAAGTAGAGAAAACCTGAGAAACCAAAAGTCAATTTGGCTATCGCCTCAACTGTAAGCACTGAAGGCTCACTTAAAGCATCTTCTCCTTGGTTGGGGTTAGAGAACAAATGATGAATGAATGAATGAATGAACGAATGTCAGTGAGAGGCAAGGATGCATGGAGACGGGGCACAGACACTTACGCTGTTCCATTTCTTGGACCGAATGGAGCCCTGTCTTCACTACTGACAGAGTAGACATCATAGCACTCTTTAATCTCATCTCTCAAGTCCTGGGGGATAGAACAGGACCCGTTCCTGACTTTGAGCTGCCGTATACGTGGTACGCCTAATAGGAGGTTCTCGTAGTAGATGAAGCTTCGGTTGTCGGCGTCAGTATTGTTGCTGGGTTGTGTCTTCCAGTAAAGCCCATCCAATAAGGCACCTTCTGTGAACTGAAAGTGAAGGAAACATTGAAAAAAATTTTTTTTAACGTTTATTTATTTTTGAGAGAGAGAGGGACAGAGATAGAGAATGTGGTGGTGGGGGGTGGTGGCGCAGAGAGAGAGGGAGCCACAGAATCCAAAGGAGGCTCCAGGCTCTGAGCTGTCAGCACAGAGCCCAGTGAGGGGCTTGAACTCACGGGCCATGAGATCATGACCTGAGCCAAAGTTGGATGCTCAACAGACTGAGCCACCCAGGTGGCTTCACCCCGTGAAGGAAACATTTTTGAAAAGTTTTTTGAAAAGCTCCAAGCTTAGCGGCTTGCATTGCACTTTCCTGGAATGTTTGCATGACCAACAGTTTGGCAACTCTGTGAACATGGTAGCATGACAAGAGTGGGTCTCTCTGTCAGAAAGATTAGGGTTGGATCTTGCTCCCCTGCTTACTAGCTGTGAGGCCTTGAGCAGGATCCAACTTTGAGCCAGGGTTCCTGCATCTATAATACTCATTAAAAAAATATATATCCATTTTTTTATATGGTTGCTACCCTTGGTGCCTAGGACTAAAGGTGGGGGGTGTGGTTTACATAAATCCACAACTCTGATCATTTTACTTTTCCCTTATTAAAATAACATCTCACATAACCATGGTTCCAAACTTGCTTGGAGAGGAAAAGACTACAGTTTTGATTACCAGTCTGCCATCTGGTGGATCTTTTAAGTGTCTGGACTATTTTGTCATATTGTGAACTCTAACTGCCCCTGCCCCTGCTTTACCATGGAATTGTGTATATGTGAGAAGTCTCTCATTAGTGTGCCTGTAGGGAAGAAGAAGCTGTTTCTCAGTGTCTTACCCTTATCAGACAATCAACAGAGATGGATTGCTTTGCTCTGTTGAGGTGGGGAGAGATTCATATTATACAAGAGTGGTTTTGGATGCCAAGTATTTGGATGCCAAGATGTGTAATACACTCTAATTCCTGATGCCTAACTAGGCATCAATATTAATGGGTCCACATGGTCCAGTTTCCTCTATCTTTACAACCACCAGCTCTGACCCCAGCATTTAATAAAGATTTTAGAAAGCATCTCTGCAGGAAGAAACAACTGTTTCCTTTCTAATTTCCCTTCCAATTTTCCTAGGTTCTGAGCACCATACCTCCCAGATCAGTTTAACATTTTTCCTATGGTATCACTCATAGCTTATCCTCTGCTACTATGTTGGATCTTGTGCAATTTGGGAAGGCTGGATTGAGTTTCACATTAGAGATCTCTGAAAGAAAGTGCCTGCCTTATATCAGGTGCTGTTCTAGAGTATATGCCATCATAAACAAGGAGACAAAAGACAAAACAAAAACAAACAAAAAAGCAAGACTAAATAACCAAATTTTGCCCTTATTAGGCTGTATATCTAGGAGATACTCAACAGATATTTATTGAATCAAGAATGGATGAATGAATTATAGACCAGGGTGAAGAAGTTCCTGTCAGGCTAGAAAAAAAAGTCCATTTTTCATACTCCCTATCCATGTGTAAGCATGCTGAGTCTTAGTCTCCTCATCTACCACCCGGGGCACAACATTAGCACTTACCTTGTGTGGTTACTATGGCACTAAAGAAGGTAAAGTATGAAACACTCAACATGCTGCAAGAAACATACAAGATTCTCAACTGGACCATAACTTCCAACAACTCACCATAACCTACATCTCACTCGGTGTTAGGCACACAGTGGGTCCTATATATACTGGTGAATTAATTTATGAAGCCAAATGAATAATTTTCAGTGATAAAGAGGTACTTTGAAAGTCATTTACAAAAACAAAACAAAACAAAACAAAAATAGAAAAGTCATTTGTAAATACCTTCCAGAAGTCTTCCATTGAAGAAAGAGTTTTAAAGTTTGTTTTCTCTGTTTTGGACACTGGGGTGTCCAAGAAGAGTTGTGACATTATCCGGGTGTAGTAGTACACACTGGAACTCATCATCCCATAGGTCACTGGAACACAGAAAGAGCCACATAAACCCTGTGAGGGAACCCACACACTTACCAGTACACTCCCACTGAATGGGTAGGTATCCACAAACAGTCTGCTCTGTCCCTTGCCTTCCTTCTCTTCACCATTCTTCTAGGATCTCTCCCTAGCTCTCAAGCCTGTAAAAGAAATAAATTAACATTGGCTTATGTGAAACAAAACTGGCTTACTAAAGAGCATTAAGTTAAGATCAAGTGCCTTTACTTGACATCTGGGACATGGCTATTCAACTTCATCTCCCCCTCCCCACCTAGATCAGCCCCTCAACACAGGGAGGCTGATCTGCATGGGTTCCTACTGAAGCCATGCTGAGTGTCTCGTCCTGAGGCTGTGCATATGCTGTTATTCTCTCTACAATAAAACGGGCAGGTGATTCTCTGTTCTACATCAATTCTCCACCCTTCTCTGCTCTGCATACTGTGGCTGACCTCGACAGATGGTACCACATAGGCTCCCGTGACCTTTGACATCCCATGCATTTGGCCCATAGGGGGCGGAACAGGAAATGGGGGGGGGGAGCTGAGGAAAAAGAGATTGGGTTTGTTTCCTCCACCCCTCCTCCATTCCCTCACCACCTGGATGCACTTTGGCAGGGGACCCTCTAACCTTGGCCATAGTTGCTGGGGGAATCTCTCCTCCCACAGCCATACTGGGTTCATGCCATGCCACTCCCTCCCCTTGTCCCTTCAGGCCTGGAGGTGGTAACTGTTCTGAGGGCCTCACTCCCCTTGTTGGTTCCCATAACCCTGCCCCACCTTTGGACATAGGGCCTTCATTAAACGTTCTTTAATTACCACTTTGAGTTTTCCATCCCTTTCCTGGCAGGATGCTAGCACAGACACATCTTCCTCCCATCTACCTATCAAATCTTGTATGGAACCCTCTAAACTCAAGCTATACTCTTTCCATAAAGATTTTCTGATTATATCAGCTCATTCTGAATGGTCCTAGAGGGAGGTAGGAAGATAACTTACAGGTTATCCCTGTAATCCCTTCACTAAAAGGGGGATTAAGTGCTATTTAATAAAATCTCTTCCTCATATAGTTCGCTTCTCCACCTGAGCAGCATAGATAATTAAGATTATTTAAAAAGAGGAGCAGATAATAGTGATTCAAACATAAGTGTGTTTTAGAGTCCACCTCGAGCAGTCAGTGGATCAGTAAATACATACAATCATGCGGCGTATCTATTTTATCTGGAGGGAAAGGAATGTTTTCCAGTCCCCTTAGTTTTAGGCTCCCTCACCTGTCCTCCTGCAACCCACAAATTAGGGTAAGAACATTCCTCTTCAAGTGCTCCATGACTTGCCACCTCTCAAAACTGTACTGGGCCACAGTTAAGGGTTTAGACTTTTAATCCATTCATATTTATGGGACAGAGTGCTTATGAAGATAAGCAAGGTGTGATCTCTGTCCTCAAGAAGAGAAGCTAATAGGTATCCCTGGGAAGAGCATTGTCCAGCCAGCTCCCATAGAGGGATGGACAGGGTACAATAAACTCTACAGAAGCTTTCTGTGGATCCAGAGACAGCTGAGGGAACAAAGCTGATATGATGCTAAAGAAAAGAAGTGAAGGATCCCCGAAGCTGAATAAAAAATTATTAAGTTGATTTTTTCAGTTAACTTGAAATTTGAATTTGCTTTGGATTGACTGATTAATATAGATCATTCTCAAATTTTTTACCTGTGGGTTTTATTGTTTAAAAAGATTTATGACAGATGATTTAAATATTTTGATGTATAAATATGCAATAGTTCTCTATGTATATAAATGTGAGTATTTTAGCCACTGATTAAACATTGTAGCTCTCTTACTTTCCTATATTTTTAATATCGATTGCTTTTGAAATTCTCAGGACCTGTATGAAATTTCACGCTTCACTAAAAGGGAAGTGATGCGTCCCCTTGACTATTTAGCACCATCTCTCAGACATCTAGAGAAACAATGCCATCTAGCTTTGAAGGGATGATTATTCTAACACATTGAATCAGCGAATATTAACTCAGTTCCTCCCTTGTACCAGGCCCTGGGATAAGCCATGGGATATCTTTTTTATTTTTTAATTTTTTTTTGAGAGAGAGAGAGAGAGAGATAGAGAGAGAGAGAGAGAGAAAAGACAGAGACAGAGAGCACCTACAAGTCTGTGCCCACAAGTGGGAGTGGGGCCAGAGGGAGATGGAGAGAAACTCAAGCAGGCTCCACCCTCAACACAGAGCCCAATGCAGGGCTCCATCTTACAACCCTGAGATCATGACCAGAGCTGAAATCAAGAGTCAGATGCTTAACCAACTAAGCCACCCAGGCACCCTCTCCATGGGATATCTCTGAGAGACAGCTTCATACACTCCAGGAGTCAGCTGTACCATGAGTCCATATTAGGAAAAGTTCTGTGTTAGGGAGCAAGAAGTACTAGCAAACAAGACAGAGAGTGAAAATGCGCAAAGCTGTCAACATTTTGTAAGAGCACCTATGTGGCATCTCTGAGATGTGCCTAAGAGCATCCCTTTCACCCTCTCTGTGCTGAGGGAGACAGGTGCATAAACCAGTCTGGCAATCCAAGGTGAGGATTGCAGTGAAAGAGGTGGGCCTGGACTTCAGCACAGCTCAGGGAGGTGGGATAGTTGATAAAGGCTTCTCACTGGATCTGCCTCTTGAGCTGATCTTGAGGGATGAGGAAGAACTGAACAGACTAAGAAGGTGACAGCCTTTCTGAGACTCACAGTGGTGTGGTGTGGTTGAAGTAACAGAAGTCATAGGGAGTGGCAGGTCCGAAGAAGAAGGTAAGCAAAGACTGTATAATGTCTTTATTATGTAAAGATTTTAAACTTTATCTTGAAACTGAGGGATTATAGCATGTTAAATGGAAGAGTGACCTGGGTTAATCTGGTTTCAGAGACAGTAATCTGGAGCAGTGCCTGGGAGTCCTAAAAGTCCAGATATTAGATACTAAACAATGTTGTCTAAGGTCACTGAGTCATCTTAAAACTTAAATAAATCTTGTCACTTCTCTACTTAAAAAACCCAGCTTTCCACTGTAAACCCCTTACAAAGCCTACCAGACCTATAGGGTCTGGCCCCTGACCACCTTTCCATCCTTATCTGATAGTACTCTCTTTAGTAACTGTCTTCAGTTTCTGGAATGTTCTGAGCTTTTCCTGCCTCAGAACCTTCACTCATAAAGTTCTCTCTGCATCTGACTGGCTCCCACTCTTAATTTAGGTCCCAGAGAGGCCTTGTCTGTAGGGAAATCCTCCTCCCCGATTGTCTTGTTTCATATTACTTCTGCATTTAAGGGAAGGGCCTAAATCTGTTTTTAATTATTTTTTTTTTAATTTTTTTTTTCAACGTTTATTTATTTTTGAGACAGAGAGAGACAGAGCATGAACAGGGGAGGGGCAGAGAGAGAGGGAGACACAGAATCGGAAACAGGCTCCAGGCTCTGAGCCATCAGCCCAGAGCCTGACGCGGGGCTCGAACTCACAGACTGTGAGATCGTGACCTGGCTGAAGTCGGACGCTTAACCGACTGCGCCACCCAGGCGCCCCAATCTGTTTTTAATTAAATTACTGAACAGTTGCCTGAATGAATAAATGAATAATCCAGGACAGATATGATAAAGGTTAAAATAGGAACAACAGTGATGTATGAAGGAAGGCAGATTCGAGAGGCACCAAAGAGGAAAAATGAGAAAAGTGAGGGAAAGCATCTAGAATGACGTGTAGCTTTGGGGAGAGGCATCATGTGGGTAATGTTCACATTAACTCAGAGAGAACATGAGTGAAACAAGTTTGGATGGGGAGGATGACGGGTTCAGGATTAGGAATGTTAAGGATGAGATTGCTAGGAGATACACCAGTGGAGATGCCTGATAGAAGTTGGCACAACGTTTGTAGTTCATGAGCAAGGTCTAGGGGGGACCTGGAGTCACCAGCATCAAGTACCAGTTGAGAATGTGGAAAAGATCCCCGAAGAGAAAGCCAAAGATCCAGTTGCAGAGAATACACTGGCTAAACACATTTCATAAGGAAAAAAACTAAAAGTGAATAGAGCAAGGAGAAACACAGAAAGAGAGGGAGTCCTAGAAGCCAAAGAGAAACTTCTAGAAAGCCAAATGCCAGAAAAACCTGAAAAGAACTCTAAAATTTGGCAATTAAGAGGTCCCTAAGTGGGGTGCCTAGGTGGCTCAGTTGAGTGTTTGACTCTTAATTTCAGCTCAGGTCATGATCTCATGGTTTGTGAGTTTGAGCCCCATGTTGGACTTTGCGCTGACAGTGCGGAGCCTGCTTGGGATTCT